ACAAATGAATAGGTATATACATAAACGTAAAGTAATAAAAAAATGAATAAAAATAAATTAATACCTACGGGAAAAAAGTGACTAAAGAGTTTACACAGAGTTCCTATACTTTATACATCTACAATGTTATATTTTGTATTCTTATTAACATATGCGATTTACGAGATATTATTTTGATAATAAATAATAAGGTGACTTTTCAGTATATCTATGAATCATGCATTAACTATCAACATGAATTCGAATTCGATCACACTCAGATATGAAATGTAATGTTTATTTATGAGTAACAATAATACATTTCGTTAAAATATTTATTATTTGTAGTTATAGTTTATATATTACATATAATACATACTTTTTAAACAAGTATGAGCGACTGAATATTGCTAAATTAAGTTCAGCAGTATAAGTAAATCAATAATATATATATGTACATATAAAATATGCCATCGTAATATTCTTTGTTCGTAAAAAATATACAACTATTATTTGTCGACTTAGCATTTTTATATATATTTTTTTTTGCTTCTATATTATCCCTTTTGTAATAATTATGCATTGTACTTAAATTATTATTTTCATACTGGGTGTTTATTAGTAATATTAAGTTGTAATAATTTAGTTAGTATAGTTATTGATATTTATAAATAAAAGTGCGACTTGAACTTTATTTTAAAATTTGAACCAAATAAATTGATGATTTTTTTTTCATAAAAATAACACAAAATTGTATTTTTAACTAGTTTTTTATAACAATCCAACATAGAAAAATATTTTATCTTAGAACGATATATTTTATATATTTGAAAAGAAAAATTATAAAAGGTGTTTTTTTTCAAGATTAATTAAAAAAAAATTAACTTAAACGTAAATCAATTTCATGTTTGTTGGCTGCAAGACATTTTTTATTCATTGTACTATGCCACGCATATAATTTCCATTATATTAGTTATATTTTATAATAAAACAATTATTTCAATGTTTTAAATGTTAATAGTGTAATCCTAGTACGTTTAAGACACACTGTATATATGTTTACTAGTTTATGACAATGCAAAATCCCCTAATTTTCGTAATTCCTAACACTCAATTCGTGTCATTGCGCGCCGAGCTAATACGATAAAACCAATCACTTTACGTACACCTATCAACTATACCGTTCAGCGAAAGGACTTAATCCGATCTATTTACACTTCACCAAACAATTTAGCACAGTGCGAACGTGACACCTACAATAAACGTGAGCGCCGGAGGCGACGATGTAGATACTATAATACGGGGAGAGTGTACGTCGAATATGCAAATCAACCGAAAGGACTTGGTGAGACAGAAAGAGGGCGAGTATAGGTATCATCTATCGAAAACACATGTGCGCGGGCTTGTTTTTCGAGAAAATTACATACAGGCATTTTTGTTTTTTTAACTTTTCATCAATAGATTTTCAACATGTAAACCGCAAATTACATACGAGGTACCTGGTTTTTTTTCATTTGCAAACCGATTTTTTTTTACCTGCGGCTTTGTACACGAGTGTATTATAATATACCAACGGCAGCGGTAAACGTAAACGCACACGCACGCATCATTCCAATACAAAATTAATCAATATTTTTTTTCCCATTTTAAATGTTGAAACGAGAACGTTATTATGTTTAAGCTTACGCGTGTGAGTTTTTTCAGTATAATAAAACTATTGCTAAACACGGGTGTGAATAATAATCAAATCGTATATATTTTTATTTATTTTTTGCCAACGTTCCTCCGATCAAACATCAATTATTTTTATCGTATACAATGTTGGTATAACAGTATGCTCTTAACGAATAAAACATGTTTTTATCAATATCCAAAAAATTAATTTGAGAAATATTTACATTATCGTACGAACAGATAGCGCAAGGGAGATATGTATTGCGAACCAGCGTAATTGCTATATAACATATACATTTTATAAACGGGCCGAGTGTATAATATTTTGCGCAGAGTTCAAACGAACGAAGTGAAAACATGGCCGACAGATCTTAACTTCACGCACGACCGTCCGCGCCAGTCCGTCGTTGTTCATAGTGGAGTTCCCGCAATGATTATATGTCTTCTTCTTGGCAGTGTTGTACCATACCGCGGCGGTCGTAATGAACGACCGAAGAAGATTACAGCGATATCGTACCGGTTGCATATCACGCGTTATCATGCGAAGATCGGGTGCAGGTACGCTTTCCAAAAAAAAAAAAAAAAAAAAAACGGAGAAGAAATAGACAAAACAAAATATATACGTATATCTATTGAAAAAAAGAAAACCTCGTACGGTTAATTAAATGGTTCTGCGTGTTGTATATGTGTGATTTACGGATGTATATGATGTAGGTACGCATCCGTTCGTTGGTTTTTTCTTACATTTTAATGGTTTATTTCGTTATTACCATTATATTACTGTAGGAAGTGAAATTTTCCAAACGGAATCTTCGCGTACTACGACGTAGATTATGCTGTATAAATGAAGTGGACAACAATACGGTTATACGTTACGTCAATTACTTTACCAACAATATTTTAAAATATGGACTAACCATATACATGGTTATACAATAAAACGAGATAAAATAATATTATGAGTGCAGTAATTATACGTGTGGTCAATAATTTTATAGTGTTTAATATTTTAAATTTTGAATGTGTTAGCCTTGTTTTTTTGACCGTTCAAAACCATGTTGTTAAACAAATTATTATATTTTATCGAGCCTTCACGAGTTTTGGTTGGTCGTTTAAGTATGTAGATACTGTAGACACTATATAATCATAGGGTAAAACATTTAGATTTTCCAATCACGTTCTGAAATATAGTATGACAATAATATAATCACGCATTTACAACAAGGATACTAACCAGTTAACCTATGGTATAGCAAAAAGTAGTTACAATAAAATATTATTTTGTAATAAATATTATGTAAACAACACCTTCGTCGTGTTGAAATGTAATGAATTACTAAAAAGCATAAATTATCAAAAATTTGTATACCCATAATTTCGTAATTTCGTTACTCAAGAGAGCATTTGTGTTGTCTAAACATTTCGAGAGATCCGAGTGTATGTAAAATGTGTCAATCAAAACGTATTAATACTCGCAAAATTGAATTAAACAATCGTGTGTAGGTAAACCTATATAGACGACTGGTGCATGAGTTGTGACATAATTTTGATAATGTACGACTAAACATAATACGATTTGAATTTTGAACGGTACCTTTGGACTCATCACAATATAATAATTATGATGTTGTATTGAATAAATATTCATATCGCACATCCAAATTTGACTTTTGGGATGTATGTGGATACAAACGTTTTAGAACACGGCGATCGTTTTTATATTATTAAGGTCAAAACGGTGTGGAGCGCGTGGTTTTGTTTCATTCATATAAACGGCGTACATCGTATAATAATATACCGCAGAAGGACTACGCGTAATGTGATTATAAATTCATCACATGACGTACTTAAGAAATTCGAGTTTTTCCACTTTTTACGTACACACATTGGCATACGATTATTGTAATTACGATACACAATATACCTGCTTTTAGGTTTACAAACAAAATAGTATATGGTTGGTGTTATTTAATGTGTACGCGAATTTCAACGACAATTGAATGCGTGAGTTTAAAACCGTTTGGACAGTACGAAACGCGTCATTGAATTATTATATTGTTTCCATCGCAGTCACGATACCGGTGGACGAACGCGTGTCATCGCCATAAACCACACAATGCGACGGCTAATGAACGAAAAATTTCTCAAAACTTGAGAAAATCTACGCGGGCATGCGTTTTACGCACATATTATACTGTACTGCGTCGACGACGCACGTTAAGGACGAACTTACGTATCACAAGTACATACCTACAATGACCCTGGCACTATGTACACACACACACACACACACACGTATAAATAATTTTATGTTAGTCAAACAAAAGGGTATCCCGTAAGGAAACGCAAGGAACGCACGCGCAAACATCCTGGATTTCACTTGTGTAAAAAATATGTTATGTCATCTTCAGTTAACAGGCCATAAAAGTACCGAATGTTATGATAATACACTGTTCGAGTTGATTGCCAGCCAGTGTTTTATTATTATTATTAGTATATAAACAAAGGCGCGTACGACCGCGAGAACCTGTCCTCGTGGGGATACCTAAACGCACATTATACGTTGATATCGCCCAGGAGTGTCTTCGGCGCGTACACTTTTGTCTTTTCGTGCACGCGGTGCACGGTCTTTGTTCGCGTATTATTTTTATAACGTTTACGGTTTACACAATATTCTGCGTTTGAACGGAGAGAGAGAGTGAGAGTCGGGTACAACCTTACTGCGCGTACAAGTCCACTGTTCGGATGTTGCCGCATGTATTTGCGCGTACACTTAAAAAAACTTTCAAACGACTTTCAACCATCATTAGGAACGTTTAAAATAATGATAATAATAGAAAATAAATCGAAAATATAGTGCACATACGTTATGATGAACTCGGATCATGTTCCATTTGTGTGTATGTTACGTTTGATGAGTATCTCGACCTAGAGAGTTACGTGAACGTTCCGTTTTGACGCGTACGCGTAACCGCTACCATCGTACGCTTTGTGTGTTCATTTAACGGCTTACGTACACATACCATACACATATATATATGGGTTCCTATTTACAACGCTCGCACGTATAAACGTAAACAGTTAAACTAATTCTCGTACGGAAGAAACTGTGCGCGATGCGATATCGCGCATTTCATAATTGCCACTGTACGGTTAGATCTCACCGGGCTTTGATTACAACTATAATTATTGTTATCATTAATATTGTTGTTGTTGCAGTGCAATCTTACAAGTCTGAATGGGAAAAAACTACCGGTTTCTTTTTCTTTCAATTTCAAACTGTATGAAGCTACAAATCGTTCGAGTAAACGATGATAATAACATATTATATACGATACGGTACTAACCTTCGTCTCCTTGCCGGTATGATGCCGAACGGCAAACGGAATCCGCCAGGCGAGTTGACCGCGGCGGAAGACCCGACGGGACCGGCGGATGGCTGTGAGGGGTGCTGGAACACGGTGGGCAACAGGGACGCCTGCAAGTTGGCCACGCGCGCCGCCATGTCGCACAAGACGCCGTCGACGCTGCCACCTTCGCCGTTGCCGACGCCGCCGCTGCCACCGCCACCCACGGTTGTGTACAGCGGCGGCGGCAGGTGCGAATTGAGCAACAGGTCGGGCAGCCTGTCCAGGTCGTAGGGCATGGTGAGGCCGGCGATTGCGGACTGCGGCGGCGGCGGCAGCAGCGACGCGGTTGAGAGTGCGGGCGGCGGAGGCGGAGGCGGGTGGACGCGACGCTGTTGCTGCCGGCGTTCCCGCCGTTCCCGCCGCCGCTGTTCCCTGTACGTGGACGGGAACGCGGGAAACGCCATCGCGTCCGTCTGCGCCTCCGTAGACGCGTACGTCCTCTCGGCCGTCGTCACCATCGGCGGCTTGGCGTCCGTGCCGGCCACGCCACCGCGGCCCTGCGCGTCCACCGCGCCACCGGTAATCACACTGCTCCTGTTGTTCATCACTACGACGCGCACTCGATTATCATCGCGAACGTCCGCGACGTCGTTATCCTCACGGTCCTCCCTGTAATCGTAATAGTAAAGGTCGTCGTCGTCGTCGCCGTCGTCGTCGTCGTAGTCGTCGACGTCGACGTCTTCGCTATCACAACACCAGTCACCGGCACTGACACAACGCGGCGGCACGAAACGCGACGGCGGGCGCTGTACGTTTGACTGAACGGCTGTCGCGGAACGTGAACGCGACGACCGTTCACCGAGTGCCGCGGCGGCGACGGTGCCTCGGTGTTGCAACAGCGATCCACGCGGCGAACACCGGTAACCGGTTGTCGCTCGTCCCGACGCCGCCGCAGCGACCAACGCATCGTTATTTGGGTCACCGGCGACGACGGCCGTGGTTTCCGCGGTACACCAGCACGGCGGCGGCGTCTTGTCTCCGCCACCGCCGCCACCATCGTCCAGCAGACGGCACACGGACGACGAACACGAACCGGCCGACCTGGAAATAAGAAAGAAAATGAAAAAATAAATAAACAAAAACAATACGATGAGAAAGAAAAAAATATTTGTACACGTTTGACACAATAATAATAATTAAAATCATTACCCTACATTCATGTGCCACAAGTTTACCTATGCCACGGAATCGTCTTTGTCAGAATGCGCACATAAATATAAGACCATTTAAGTTGTAGTGTAAACAATTATTATTATTTAAGTGCTAATGATCGCTACTGCATTATCTTAGAATCAAGTTATTTGTTTTTGCATTCTTCACGCGTTACAGCAGCATGTCTTGTATGAAAGCGTCATTATTGTGAACGGCGGTGTTGGCTGACACGTTGGAGGGTGACACAAATGGGACAATAGCCCTGCAAGGCAGAAGTATTTTTTTGACTACAATCTTTTTAGTTCAAATAAATGATATGACGAAAAACGCACTCAAAATGTATACGAATAAAATATAATGTATTTTTATATTATAATTGAAGTGCTCATCGATTAATAATTCAGTTTATATTTTTTAGACAGACGCAGTTGCAGGATTTTTACTAATGAAGGTATCTACTTATACTATCTACTCTAGTAACAAAATGTACATATTTTTAGTTGTAATTTAATTCAATTAAAATCCATTGAAAAGGAAAACAAATTTAATTCTATCATATTTATAAGAACTTTATAAACATATTCATAGTATTATAAATAAAAAATACTAATTCAAAAAAAAAAATTAGCTCAACGGAAAGGGACCTATACCTCTTAGTAAACATTGATTTGGAATAAATATATATTTTAATCCATTGAATGTCTTTAAGTTAGATATGTATAAAAATCATTGCACATAATTTAATTTTTTTAAATTTATATTGCTATGAAATGCTAGTAGATGTCAGTACCATTGATATAATATGTTTTATATAATATATGACCAGCCGCGTACTGTCTAGATAATGCACAACACTGGTTATTTATTTTGTCTTACCAAATAAATCATGTTAATTCTCTTTTAACCATTTTATACAGTGTATTATATTACGTTTCAAATAAAAATCAATTAAAATCCTCTGTGTTAAATGTTGACGACAATTGGAATATAATTTTTTGCATACGAAAAAGCACTAATAATAAACTTAAAAGTCTTTCTTTTAATAAAAATTATAATACTCAAAATAACTTGGGTATATCAATAACGAAGACAAAAGATCAATTTATTTGTTTTTCACGAAGGAGTGTTTTATGGTGACGGTATATAATTGTTATTTTAAGAGAGAACGGAAATGTTTGACGAGATCAGAAGAATCTTTCAAGACTATTATTTCAATATATATCATTATCTTACTGTTTTTGTGTATTATTATAGGCATTGAAAATGTTTACAGAGCATTCAATCTTCCACGAAATTCTTGAAAAATTCCAAAACCTGCTCCCTTACTTATAGAATCATCTGCTGTTGAATTACTTTCATCCCAAAAGATAATTTCATCAGCCATTCAAAGTTGTCGTTACTCTCGTAAATTCTATACAATTAAGAAATCGAAATGATAAACACAAAGGTAAACGGTAATCGAAATTAAAACATGACTCTCTAGGTATAACATTTTTGTCACACCTGTACCGAAAGTTTGGTTTTCGACCATGGTCGAAGCGTTGGAATGTCACATTTATCCGTCCAGTGGGCAGTAAGATGGGAATTCCATAGTGGCGGGCGGTAAAGTGGAAATTCCAAAAAGTGTGGGGAAGGAAAAGTGGAAATCCCTATAACACTGTGTAGTAAAGTGGAAATTTCCAAGAGCGCTGGCCGCGTATTCCCAGCGTTGTGTCCTAGCTACTTAAATGTATACCACGGTCCGTACAAAACATAAACTTTCGGTTAAATCTTATACACGTATCACAACCTCCTTGCACGACGCATAAACATTTAAACATAATTCGTTTTTACTGTTCCCACACAAGTGCGTTGGACCTTACAGATAAATTTGTTTTGTGCGATTTTTATAATAATTCGAATTAGAAAATGAGATCGTTCGCGCAAGTGTCATGTCGCCGTTCAAACTAACCCATTTCGTGTTAACCGGAGCACCCGATAATGATGTCGGCGTGTTCGAGAATTTTCGATCGGCGCGTTATCGTGGTACGATTATCACCGGTCCGTAGACGCCATTACTGCCGGGACTTTTTTCCGCCGACACTTTCTTTGCGAACATCCATCTCGTCGTTTTTCCCGTGCCACCGGCCGTGTGTTTTTGTAGTTACGACATAGCACGGTGGAGTCGCCATCTCCGGGGACAACTTCATGTGTGTGACGACTGATCGAACCGTAGCTGACCCGTGTCCACGAAATTTTCTTTCGGTTATCGTCGTGCGCGGAGATGCCAGTTATTGTAAATCGAGACCGACGCCGCTGATCAACCTATTCTTCTGCCGGTTGTAGCGTTCGTCGCACGTGTGAACACGGTCGCGTTGGCATAACCAATCGAACGCCAGACCGTCCAAAGAGTCTTCCGTTATATTTGTTAAAAATATTATATTTATTTATATACGATTTGTCTTTTTATATTATTACAACGCGTTTGGAGCGTATGTGATTTTATTGTTATTTTTAGATTTATCATATTTATTATTACTTTTTTTGTTAATATTACTGTGGCGCTTTTGACTTATTCCGGCATTTGTTATAATTTCATTAATTATTCTTGTTAAGTGTTCTTTTTTATTGCAAACGACGCGAGTACGTCACATAATTGAACCAGTGATGATTTGACTGCGAAGCGCGCAAACAAGCATAAATACGAAAGATGACAATCAGTGCAGTAGTTGTAATAAAACATTAACTTCACCATACATGGTTAAAGTGACAAATGCTGTTTTACTAAATCTATTGCCTGAAAAATCAAAAGAAAGATACATAATGGCTTATGAAAAATTTTTAAAATTGAGAAAAATAAATAAAACCAAATTGTTGTTGGAAAATGTGTTTCTTATACATTTTAACAAATTATTTACAGAAATTAAACCGTCAACTCTATGATCTACTTATTCAACGCTTAAAATCATGAAAAATATGAAACATAATATTAACGTTGGTACTTATTTTAAATTACAAATTTTTATAAAGTGAAAATCGAATGGATTAAAAGTAAAAATTCCAAAGTTTTGACTTCAACCGATATAAAAAATTCATTGATGAAGCTTCTGATACTCAATATTTAGTAAAAAGGTAGATGAGTAAAAATTGTTTTGTATATATTAGCTACTCATTCTCCGTTCGTTTATTATGATATATGTAATATTCATTAGTGAAATATATATTACACATTAAACTTCTCTACTCAAAAACAAATTGTTCACCATCATTTACCATTAAAGGGGAGTTATATATTTTTAAGAAATACATGGATTTATGACCCACAAATGTAACGTCAGATAGATTTTTTTTTTGTTATAAAAACAGTTAATGCATCAAGCATGTTATTGGAAAAAACAAAATTGGAAATATGCCTAAAGAAATTGCAATATATTTAAATTTACTGTATTCCCGAGCTGACACAGGTCATTTTTTCCGCCAAACTTCAGTAACATTACTTACCGATTCTGCTGGTGATGTTACAACTAGTGATGGGAATAATCAAATGGAATACTCTAATAATTCGATTATTTGAAATAATCGAATCATTCAATTATTATTTTTCAATTATCATAAATAATCAAAATAATGGTAACAGACATATTTACCAAAATTAAATCAATTAAATTATTCGAAAAATTGCGTATTTTACTAATCTCCCACTGGGTACTAAATTAAGAAGTCGACTGTCCATCAGTATTGTATTTTAATTGTTAAAAATAATAAAATTACTGAATTTAACTGAAACTACAGGTATTTATTTGGTAAGGGGCCCAAGTCTTATAATTTTTGAGAGAGCCTACCGGGCCTTTCCCAGTATTCCGGTGGGCCAGTACGCACCTGTAGATGACTGATATTGCACTATTACTGATGATAAGTTGTTTATGAATCAGTAGCACCGTGATCGTACAAAATATTGAAATAAAAAAAAATAAAATAATCGTTTGGTAAGCCACCTACAGATTTATTTTAGTAAAATGGTCCGGGAATCATAATTTTTAATTTTAATGTATAATACTAGTGTGTTTGATTTGTTAAACGTCAGGATTGCGAACATATTTTGATGTACCTAATAATGCTTAAAACAATGCTCTAAGAGTTTTTCTTTTAAAATTATTGAACTAGTGAAAACTAACATAAAATAAATAGTTCATTTTAAGTTATTAAATAGTGTCCAACAGTCGAGACGCACTATAGAGGAGAATAAAATTTAAATGCGAAATTAGGACTAAGGAGGTTAGTTATTAGAGTATAGGTCTTCTTTTTGGTATTCAACCTTTAAGGTTGGTTTTGCAATTGGATATTATCTCTCCACTCTTCTCTGTTCTCAGGTAGACTTTTCAGTTCGGTGTAACTTATTAGTCCATCCTCGGAGATAATTTGTTTGACAAATGAAGTTCTTGGACGTCCTCGGTCCCTTTTACCTTCAATTATCCCTTCTATTATTCTATGGGTTAGTTCATTTTTGTGTCTCAATATAAAACCCATCATGTTCCATCGTATTGTTCTGATGGCTTTGAGTATCTCTCTTCGTTCATTTATTTCAATGAGTATGTTTTCGTTGATACGGTGTTCTACCCAACTCACTCTCAGCATCCATCTCCAACACCACATTTCGAAACTTTCGAGTGTTCGTTGTTCTGTCTTATTTAATACTCATGTTTCGCATATTATAGAATGCTACTCTATGGTCTATCTAGAGTATACTCATGTATACTCCATACATACACTTTTATGAAACGTTTTCTCATCTTAATACTCATGTTATTGGAGTGTAACAATTTTTTTTTTCATAAATGCTGATTTTGCTTATGCAATTTTGGATCTTATTTCTATGATATATCTTCCATCCTAGGTATTCATAATGTTCT